CCATTCCCGAGTTTTTCCTGCAGCGTTCCCTCCCTGGCTGGGCAGGGCAGGGCCCTTCCCAAAACCCCAAATCCTCCGGGATGGCTTTTCCCAGAAATCTGGGATGGGGCTGGGCAGGGCACGGCCGCAGGCTGGGATGGGATTCCCGAGGGACGGGCTGGGAACGGCTCCCGAGGGCTCGAAAACTCTTGGAAAGCTCAGCCCAAATCCACAGGATTGCATCGGGATGGGGAGGGAATGACCCCGGAGTGACCCCGGAGTGACCCCGGAGTGTCTGGAGCACAGATCCATCCGTACTTCCCAAAAATTCTGGGAATCGAGCATGTCCTGGCTGGGATAACCAGGATCCAGCCCTGTCCCATCCCAAATATCCCATGGAAAACCGGGATCCAGCCCTGATGTGATCCCAAACCACGGCACAGCCCCATCCCAAAATTTGGGATTACAGGGGAAATGGCACAGCCCCATCCCAAAATTTGGGATTACCGGGGAAATGGCACAGCTCCATCGCAAAATTTGGGATTACTGGAGAAATGGCACAGCCCCATCCCAAAATTTGGGATTACTGGAGAAATGGCACAGCCCCATCCCAAAATTCGGGATTGCCTGGGAAATGGCACAGCCCCATCCCAAAATTCGGGATTGCCTGGGAAATGGCACAGCCCCATCCCAAAATGATGGCACAGCCCCATCCCAAAATTTGGGATTACCTGGGAAATGGCACAGCCCCATCCCAAAATTTGGGATTACCTGGGAAATGGCACAGCCCCATCCCAAAATTTGGGATTGCCGGGGAAATGGCACAGCCCCATCCCAAAATTTGGGATTACTGGAGAAATGGCACAGCCCCATCCCAAAATTATGGCACAGCCCCATCCCAAAATTTGGGATTACCCAGGACAGACCCCAGGAATGACCTTGGGCGCAGCCCGGCCTCATCCCACAAATTTGGGATGCCCCGGACCACAACACAACCCCATCCCAAAATTCTGGGATGCCCTGGGACACGACCCAGCCCCATCCCAGTCCCAGGCCCTGCTCCTCCATTCCCACCATTCCCAAACCCCCTGTGGCGAATCCCGGGAATTCCGCCCGTGCCAAGGAAACCCCAAACTCACCTCGCGCCCCAAAGCTGGGCCGGTAGACGCTGCCCACACTGAGCCGGGCTTGGCTGTCGGGCACCGCCTGTGGAATTTCGGGAGCGAAGGGCTCGGGGTGAGCCACCCCAAAAGATTCGGGCGCCCGGAACGGCGGCTGCGCCTCCTGGGGCGGGAATTGCGCCCCGAATCCCAGATTTTCCATGGATCCCAGCCCGGGATCGGCGTCGGCGTCGTGGTACAGGCTGTGGGAGTAGCGGCGGTCCAGCGGCACTCCCGCGGCTCCGTAGGGATGCGGCTCCTCCCCGAAATCCTCGGGAAGCGCGCGGGGCTGGAGCGGGAACGCCAGCCCGGGCCCTGTCCCCAGCGGTGTCCCCATCCTTGTCCCCATTTCTGACCCCAAAGGTGCCCCCATCCCTGTCCCCATAGGTGTCCCTATTCTTGTCCCCATTTCTGTCCCCATCCCTGTCCTTATCCCTGTCCCTATTCCTGTCCCCATTTCTGTCCCCATAGGTGTTCCCATCCCTGTCCCTACAGGTGTCCCCATCCCTGTCCCTATAGGTGTCCCTATTCTTGTCCCCATTTCTGTCCCCATAGGTGTCCCCATCCCTGTCCCTACAGGTGCCCCCATCCCTGTCCTTATCCCTGTCCCCATCCCCGTCCCTGTCCCCATCCCTGTCCCCATCCCTGTCCCCATCCCTGTCCCCGCCGCCACCGCGCTCCGCGACGCGGGCACACCGTCGGGGCGCTCCGCTTGCGGTGCCACCCCCGCGGCGACAAAGGGCGGCTGCCCCGCCACCCCCGCGGCGACAAAGGGCGGCTGTCCGGCCGAGGCGAAGGCGAACGACGACACGGCCACCCCCGGGGCTGTCGCGCCCGCCTGCCGCCCGCGCCCCGCCTGTCGCCGCTGTCCCCCCGCGCCGTCGCCCAGCGGCCCGTCCCGCCAGTTGGGCGGCACCTGGCCGAACCCGAAGGGATGTCGCGCTTGTCCCCGCACTGTCCCCGAGGCGGGCGCCTGGCGGCGGACGCTGCCGCCCGTCCCCGCTGTCCCCGCTGTCCCCGCGGTCCCCGCGGTCCCCGCCAGCCACAGGCGGCTGCCCGCGGGCCGCTCCTGCCCGGCGGGCACGAACTCGGCGCCGCTGTTGAGGAGGCTGTAGAGCCGCCCGTTGTTCTCCCACTGGATCAGCTGCCGCCACGGCTCCTGCGCCGCCGCCAGCAGCAGCAGCGCGGCCCAGAGCGCCCCGCGCCGCCACAGCCCCGCCGCCATCGCCGCCGGCGGTCCCCGTCCGGTGGCACCGCTGGTGGCACCGCTGGTGGCACCGCTGGTGGCACCGCCGGTGGCACCGCCGAGCGCCGCTCGGGCCCGTCCCGCTCGGAGCGCGGGGCCGGCAGCGCCTCCGCCGCCTCCTCCTCCTTTTCCTCCTTTTCCTCCTCCTCCTTTTCCTCCTTTTCCTCCTCCTCCTTTTTCCTTTTTTTCCTCCTCCTTTTCCTCCTTCTCCGCTTC